CAGAGTGACTCCAACTGAAAATGAGGTAGAAAGACAAACTGATCTTGCAGCCAAATATATATAGACAGAAAAAGATAGCAGTAGAAACCAATAGAACAGTATATAAACAAAGAAAGCTGATTCTCAAGGTAAAAGAGGGAGGAAAACTCTTCTTCTGAGTGGTCAAGGGGGGTATAGAGGTGTAGTTAAGCTTAAGGGACTACAAACTAAAACACACACATGCATTTTCTCACCCTCCAATGTGAAAAAGATGGAGACTGAAGCAAGGAAGAAAATCTCAGAGAAGGGAACACAAGAGTGAGCATGTGAGAGAGATACTCTGTCTGTATCTCTATATTTAACCTCTTCCTAAGTTGAGGTTTATCTCCTAAAAGTGAAGGAAACATCTCTAGGTGTGGCAAAACATAACCTCAGTGTTGTTCTAGAAACAAAAACATGCTTGCAAAAGGCAGAGATGATGATACTGATAATGACTCTTAAGTGGTCTGAGCAGTATCAAACAATGGACTTGCATACTCAAGACAAAAGCAAATCAAGTATATTTATCCTTGATCAAATCCAGAATGGTTTCTTAATCTCTCTGGAGTTTGAAAATACCTCATAATGGACACAGAGAGGTTGTACCAATCTGGACCAGTTTGGCAGGTCTCCATTCAGTGGAGGTAGACAAGACAATTTAACACTGATTGTTCTCATCAATGGAACAATTTTCTTGACAGCAGGAGAGGGGAGTTTGGAGTACCACTTCGTTTTCACTTTTAGAAAAAGGTGAGGCTTTCCCCTCAAGATGAACAGGTTTCTGGCCATTGCCTTACCTGTCTAGTATGAATTCTTAACAATTTGGTCAGTCACTGAGACGAGACAGTTTCCTGCCTTATAAGTCAAAGTCTAATATTCATATTTACTAAGTATAACATGCAACATGCTTTCTTCATATGAAAGCAAATTGTCTTGAAGAGGAGAGCTCATTGTATCTATGGAGGCTGTATGTGTGACCCCACAATCTAACTTTCACCTTATCTAAATTGTATAAAGAGCTGCCACATCTAGAAAAGGCTTTCTGATTAATAAATATCACCTTAGAATGAAGAAAGTGATGATGGAAGAGGGGGTTGAACAAATGTGCTCCCCTCCCAATGTGTGCAGTACACATGTTCAAGTATATCTGAAAAATGTTTCATTCTAATTCAGATAACACTAATAGTTGTATGTTTTACTGGAAAGGAATATCACAGGTTTGGACCTTTAGAAAGGATTCTACAACACTTGGTTCTCTTTGTACTTGAGGACTAGGAATGTTCATGCATAGTAGAAGAAAATAGCATTCTTGTGCTTTTTTCCTTCTGGGATATAGAAGCAGAGATTAAATCATAACTAACAACATGAATAAACTGGAATAAGGCGTATTGTCCTTGGATAAAGCTTCTGAGTCCTAAGGATCACTGCTTTCATTCACTAGGTGACATTTCTCTATAGCTGTGTGTTTGCTTTTTGTAGCAATCACTATGAAGAGGGTGAACTTTCCTGAAGACTATGCCTGCTCTTCATTCCCCTGAATGTCTGTGGTCTGGATAGAATTGCACTCTGAATATTTATTATGTAGAGACATTCTGCAAAAGGAGACTTAAGTCTACAAAAGCCCATGCTGCCAACTTCTTTAAGTTAGTCTCAAAGGTGCTACAAGATCTCTCTACATACTGATTCTGCGGACTAACACAACTATATATTTGAATTCTACCACTCTGAATATTCATGTTGAAGATTCTGTGGGTACCTCCAGCCAAAATATATGCATTTCAGAGGTGCTTAAAATATGTGTGAGTCTATGTAGAAATGCATTCAAATAATTAAACAATGTGCACAAATATACAGATTTGAAGAAAAGAACACACCAAGAAAAACAGGTTTTGTCCCTAGTAGAAAATACCCAGCAGAATCAGGAACAATTCAGATGTAAAGATTGGAAAGGGAGGAAGTGTGTGGATGGAGAGTTTATTGATAAGCATATGTACCAGGGGTAGGCAACCTTTCCCCTTTACGGGCCGAGGGACTTCAGCTCCCAGAATCCCAGGAGCTATTGGCCAACATGGCTGAGGCTTCTGGGAGCTGAAGTCCCTCGGCCCTTAAAGGGGAAAGGTTGCCTACCCCTGATATGTACATTAGTGAGCCACTATGGTGTAGTGGTTTGAATTTTGCACTAAGACACTGGGTATCCCACTTGACCAGCAAAACATACTGAGTGTCTCTGGGCAAGTCACACACTCTCGGCCTCAGAAGAAGCCAATAGTAAACAACAAAAACAATAACATCCCTAATTATGGTATAAGCTACTGTGAAGTGCAGACCACGTTGTCCTTTTGAATGGTTTGTTCTTTGTTGGAAAGCCAAGAAGCAAGCAAGCAAAAAGTAAAAAAAGACTGCTATGTCAGAGAGGAAGATTTCAGATTTCCCTTCTACAAAATATACTAGTATAATATGAGCAAAGAGAGTTCCCCCCCCCCCATGGGAGATCTTTCAAATGTCCAGTCCTATGTAAGCAGCCCTGTGTGGTTTAGAGTATGGGGGAAATGTGTTCTTGGTGCATATTTAAATTGGCTCTTAGTTCTCATCCATCAGAAGCATAAAGACAGTTTCATTTCAAAGATTTCAGATGGACTTGGGCACATAAAATAATGCGACATTTAAACTGTCATCTTTTGTCATGTTCTTCAACCTGTCTAATTTAAAGCTGGAAATAATATATCATGTAGTGAATATTTATGTGGATTTTCCCATGCATAAATGACAACTGAGTAGAAAGCACACTACACCATGAAGCAATTTTTGCTGATTAGCTGCATGTGAAATGTTTGAGATCACATGTGATACATAGGAAATGTTTCCAATTTGTCACCTAGAGCAGTTTGGCATAAAACACTGTGAGATGAAAAGCTACCTAAATGGAATAAATAAAGGTCAGCACTGCAAACTTAGTAAGATTAAAACTTGGAGAAATATGGATCTTTAATGATTTTCATCCCCCCAAAGCTTAGTTACTGGTCTTTCTTCAGATGTGTTTTCTTTGGAAAGTGATAGATGACCACTCAGGACCTTTTTAAAGCATTCTTCACATTCTCAACTCATCACAGGTTTTATGTCACATTTGCAAAACCAAACTCCCCACGAGGCACGTAAAGTATTCATTAGACTGGTGTTACTGAGGAACACAAAGTATAAAAGAGATTGGATTCAGACTTCCAAGAAAGAATTCTACTGCTAGTGAAAGGTCACCTCAGAGGTCTGAAAATGGTCCATCCAAAAACCACTTTGGGCTTTGTACATCCCTCCCTATATTCTTCCATCTAGTGATCAATTTGTTTAAAGGAAGCACCACTGAGCAGAAGATGGGAGAATGGTAGGCCAACATCCTTCTTTCCTTTTTCCAAAGTGGAAACATCTGTTACACAAAGATCACTTCATTTTGACTCCTATCTTGTTTATGGGTTGGCAAAAAGGTGGACAGTCCTTATCAAAAGGAAAACTTGCTTGTGAATAAGGGTCTCTGCTCAAATGATTCTGGCTCAGGCATGAACAACAAATGAAGTTCTGGACTGCACTATAGAAATTAGGGATACTTGAAGAATATCTTCTATGTGAATTGTGTCACAAATTACACAAAATCTGTTACAAACTCCATCCCAACAGAACTTAGGGTGTGTCTGCATTGGGCCATTTAATCCAGTCTCTGCCCCCCCCTCACAGCATCCTGTCCACACACCACAGGGTCAAGACCTAATTTGAGTGCAGACTGTCTTGTGAGGACAGTTCTGCACCAAATCTGGGCCATCCTTCCCTGAACTGATTTAAAAAAAGTGACATTTTGCTCCAGCCTTTCCAGGCACTCTGGACAGCGGTCTATTAACACAACCCCACTGTACCACCTGGTGTGGTACTACCACCACTGGTGTGAGTCACTCCCTCTGAGGTCACAATGAGGTGCCCAGCCATGTGATCAATGCCAGGTACTTAGTTTTTAACCTCAGAGGGGACAACACACACTAGTGGTACAGCAGGGTATGTGTGTAGACAGCCACCCAGCATCACTCTACAGTGGTCAGGTAACAGAGAGAATTTGGGACAGTTCTGGATCTAGAATACTCTGGGAGCAGCCCAGAGTATTTAGACCAGTATAGACCCACCTCTAGATACTCAGATGCCTTTTCACATTTCTCAAATATTTCAATGCAGTTCTTGGCTTTAAAAATGTGTCAAAATGCATTCAAAAATGCATATTTTGAGAGAAAAATATACTAGAGCAGGGGTAGGCAACCTTTCCCCTTTAAGGGCCGAAGGACTTCAGCTCCCAGAATCCCAGGAGCTATTGGCCAACATGGCTGAGGCTTCTGGGAGCTGAAGTCCCTCGGCCCTTAAAGGGGAAAGGTTGCCTACCCCTGTACTAGAGCAAGAGAGGAGGAAAGGAGAGAATAATAAAATTCACAGGGATCTTAATTCATAGTTTAGAGCAGGAGGAAAGATGACTATGGCTGCATCCACACTGCAGAAGTAATCCAGTTTGAAAGCACTTTAACTGCCATGGCTCAATGCTATGGAATTCTGGGAAATGTAGT